ATTTTGGTAATTTTTATGATAGTCATGGCATCTTATTTTACAAGCTATGAAACTGACTATGCCTAATGAAGGTAACTATAATACATAACAGTGATTTAGGCTTTGTTTACATGGCAACGAAAATGATGCAATCCATACAGTTTTGTACCTGTTTTAGGCTTCTGTTTACACTGAAACAAATGAAAACGACATAGAATCTTGATAGGACTCTATGGAAACAAAAACGGTGTTCAAAGCATACTGTTTAAAAAACGATACGTTTTGTGTTGCTGTTTCATTTTCATCATAATATCCTGGTATGTCCAAATGATACTGTGGTATTTAAGTGTACATTATAGTTGTAACTGCTTTCATAAATCATACCAAGTATAGGAGTATTCTTCATTTACAACTTCACATTCAATGAAGTCATGTGACTTCCCAGTTGTGGTTGCTCCTCTATTTTTATACTCTGATGACACAAGTGGTAAAAGATCAAAAAAGTGGAATAAATTTATATTGTAGCTGAGCAAGATGTTCTTTGTGAACTAAACAACAATTCACAGGCCAATGTTACGTAGTTTGCAGTTCATTACACTTTAAATATTAAATATGCAAGGAAAGTGGTCAGCATAGGGTACTTTTTCTAGGACAACATTTTTGAATTATCTGATGATACTGTCCACTCGTCTACATATCCCTTTGTATTTGGCTTATATCACTTGCCTGTCTTCCTATGGAAATGGTCAGTGATAGTGTATATCTGATGACAGACCGTTCTGGAAGATTTCAGGACATTATAATTTTACTTGACATTCCTATTTCAGACAGAGTAATCAATGGTATTGTACTTAACTATACTAGTGCAACCAGTATTGGAATATCTAAAAATCTTAGAGCACGTTTGGAAATAAAAATGCAACTGAAGCCATTAGATTAATATACAACCTTTTTGTCACATACATGTAGCTAAGTTATCAAAAGAGCTAATTTTTCAAGTTTCATTAATATTAGTGTGTATCCAGGATGAAATATACCAATGGACCTCCACATGGAACATCTAAACAGAGAACTAAAGAGTGAAATGGATCATTTGGGACCGAAAATTCTATGATAAGATTTAGATAATTTTTTCGTTTGAGGAGTAAGAAGACATAAATGGAGTGATGATGTCATTGCCTCTTGAGTGGACAAAGTGAGCCAGTGCGGTATTGGTAACTAGAAAAAATATCACATACAAAATCGTCAACTAAATTTCCATCTTTGGACAACATTGCATAAAGGATAAATAAAGAAACTTCAATAACTATGTCCAATATTAGATCAATTTGACGATAGAAAGAAACTTCAGACCATCACTAAAGACTTAAGACCAGCATGAATTGATGGGTTTTTTAATTCATGTACACATGCATGTCTAATCTTTGTGTTCATGTACATGTTCATGTAATGTGACCATTAGGTACATGACACTCCATTTCATGGGCCATACAGTTTCCTTTAGTAAATGTCTTACATAGCTGAAACACAAGTGATTTAAATGTGATTAAACATTTTAAGAAGAAAATCATACCTGCAACTATAAAAATATCTAGCAGGATGTGATACACTCTATTGCAGTGTTAAGGATATTCTGCTTGCAAAGTTTCTTGATAGTGTCACAGACAAAAACTTTTTTATTTTTACCCAATACTCTTGACCCAGTTCCTCTCTTGAGAATTTTTCTGCTTTCCCTGTGAGGCCTCAGAGTCCTCCCTCTCCTTCTTAGTATTATTCTTCCTCCCTCTCTTCCTAGTTCTAATGTCTTTATTCATTTTTGTTTAAGTTCTCATCATCACAATAATACTCTGTAGGAAAAGGAGATGATTGGTTGTTGTAAAAACAACAATAGCAGCTTCTGTTAGCACAGGCAATCCCCAGTACAGAACAAATGTGGACATGAACATGAGTGGACCATGTCATTTGTTACAACTGCTCCACTTTAGGTTTTACTTATGATTTTGTTATTACATAGTTTCTGGCCATTGAGCTTCTCTTTTGTCTCTTTTTTTAGTCTGAAGATGCTGTCATTTCCCATGGACTTGATAATGAAGTTATACCAGTCATACCACAAGACGGAAGACCTAAAATGCTGGAAAGGCCTCAAGATGTAGTAGGCAAAGTAAACCACATTCTGCTTGAAGCAGGAGAGACCACATATGAAGGAAGCAGAAAGAATGTTCAGGTTAGTTAAATGCATTATGGTATACTCTCATTTATAAGTCACTTTTATGTATACAGTATATAGTTACAATCACTGTCTCCAACTTCCAATGACCCTGTTAGCTGCTAACAATGCTCCTCCAGCCAACAAATTGTGTGTCCCATAGTCTGCAGGATCGTACCCCAATGCTTTAATCTTTGCCATTAAAATCTCTCTAATTCTCAAATGAGAGAGCAACCCAGAGGGACGCAATCTCTCACCATTATTCGACTTGATAATAGCTCTAAATAATCATTTTGCACTCTGTGTATCAACCCCTGCCATGCAGCAATATAGCTCCATCCATCCCATAGGACACAATGAGGACCCAAAACGTGCAATGACCACTTCATTGCCTTGTCTATATTGATTTGTCTTGCTTGACAAAATTTTGATCACTATGTGGTCTGACAAAAACCTTACATCACACTGTATACAAAATATGTCTTTAAGTTAAAAAAAAAAAGACAGTAGTGGTAAGCACAGTTTTGTGAGTTTAAACTGTAGAATTTACAGGTTTAGGAGATGATGACTAGTAATGAACAATGGACTTAAACAACAATAATTCTTGAAACCAGAGAAGAACTTGAAGTAGCATTCCCATCACTCCTTCACACTTTAGTCAAGGAAGACAAAAGTGAATTTAGAAACAAGAAAAGAGAAAGCACAAATATAAGACTAACAACCAGGAGACTATACGTGGCTTTGCAGTGTTATGCCATGTATACGAAGGAAAGTCACCTCATCATTGTAGCCAGGTGATACTAGTAGTAGATAGAGGTACTGCAAGTACCATATAAGTGATTTTCCAAGGGAATAGTTTTTGTGAAATCTGCAAAAAATTACAATTCGCAAATTTTAATATCACAAATTCTACTACATGTGCATGCGGTGCCGTATTAAATTGATTTTCACGGATTTTATTTTCGTGAATCAGGAAGAAATCTGCAAAATTTGAAACTCTCAAGAAACGACTAATAAAGTAAAATATTTTACTTAATAAGGTACATTGTATAATAAGGCAATTCAAACTAAATTACTTGTTTTACGGATTTTTTTTCTCTAAAATAGAACAGGCCGGTCGGAATAAATTAAAATATAAACAATGAAATTAATTAACTACTCATTAATTAACTTTAATAATTGTTAGTTAACCACAACTTTTTAAAACAAACTATCAAAATACTCTAGCAACTTCTGTGAGTGTAGGCTTATTTAACATGAATGGCTGCTCTAACAAGTCCCAAACAGTAGATGCCACAGAGGTTTGACATACAGTGGAAAGTAAGATAGAGGAGCTTGCTCTTTTCACAGTAACAAATATATTTAGCACCATTTTGAATCTAGCCACACCCACCACGTGGTACTGCGCATGCGCATTAGAAAATTTAAATTTATTTTGATTTTCCACAAATTGGAGTCGGTCGGATCCGTAAACCAAGTAATTTTATTGGAACTGCCTAATCTTACAATACATGCCATGGTAAGTAATGTACATTTAATGATAATGTACTGTACTACATGTAGAAAAGTGCATGTACATATACAATGAACAATGTACATGTACAATATATAGCAATGTACATGTACAGTACTAAAGTACAGAGACTCATAGGCATGCTTAGCTCGCGCATGCTCATAGTAATAATAATGATGTAGAGGCTTCAATATAGTTGGTAGCATGAACCTCTTCTGCCTTCATTGTCTTCATTACAAAATTGAATTACAAATAATAACCAAAAAGTTAGGCACCTACTCTTTCGTGTAATTTGTGAGAAGGTGGATTCATCAGCAGAAAACAGTTATCTGAACTATTCATAAAATGAAGTATCAATGTACCATACTTTATACAAATGAAACATTAGCAGTTGAACAGGAGAAGTACATGCAAGTATTGGCTTAGGAGACAACAGAAGTGAGTACTGGTTTTAACATGATAGTGACTGCTGCTGAACAGGAGAAGCTACTGGTTTAAAAGATAGTGACTGTTGTTGAACTGTAGTTGAAACACACGAGACTTACTGGTTTTGAATTGATACAAATGTGAGACAAAAGAAATCTTAGGAATTAAGTTTTGAATGATAATGCTGGCAATAGTGACTCAGCAGAGCAAACCACAAGCTCTGCCACCTCTGAAAGGTTAAGGTTCAGAAAAAAGTCACAGGATGCGAATTTGAGTGTCAGGTCAAGAAGATGTAGAAGGAAACTATAGGCACAATTATAAAAGTGAAAACTATACATTATAAGAATATATGACGCTCACACACACAAATGTTTCAAGTAGTGCTGGGACGAAAGTTGTTTTTATACATTCGAAGGTTCTATGTTAAAAAATTCGAATGGTTCGAAGGTTTGGCTTAATTATTTGTACTGTTATGACAGCTGTGAAACCACATAATTATATTCATAACGTATTATTTTTTAACAGTTTTCAATTAACAAAATAACAATTCACAGTCTTAATTCACAGTCTAGCCCAATTTTTATTTAAGAAGACAAGTGCATCAACATTTTTAGGCTTCAAGCTTGATCGCAATTTCGATACTGTAAGACCAGCCTTTGAAAATGTCTGCTCTGAAGATGTTGAAGTTGCTGGAATACTGAGATATTGTGTTGCCAATAGGCTAACACGTGGAAAAGTCTCACAGTGACCTTTCCACCACACAAGGGGATCATCATCCCTAGGTAGAGATGAAGTACACAAATATTGTTGAAATTCTGCTTCAGGACTGACAGTGACAGACTCCTCAGGGCCTAATAATACATCTAAGGCTCTCTTCTAGTGTGGACATTCCTCTTCCTGAGAATGGTCGACTTGGTCCTCCGTTCCAGAGTTAGTATTTTCTGCTGTACACACACACTGCTTCACTTTATCAATCATTTCCAATTCTGCTCTTTCTTTTTGATTAACATCCAAAAATTTCAGATCCTTAAAACGTGGATCAAGAAGAGTGGCAGCAGTCAGGCTTGAGAATAAAGGTGAGTCATCACAATCTAGATCCCATCTCTCTTTGCTTTGAATCTCCACTTCTCGTTTAAACTGCTTGATTGCAGCACTATCGTTTTGTTGTGGCTTAATGCTATCTATCAGACCATATAAAATAGGTAGAATAGCTGAAACAGAAACATTATTCTCACTTCCAAAGTAAGTAGTGGCAACTTCAAAGGGACCAAGTATATCGACAAGATCTTGAGCCAGGATCCATTGCTCTGGTTTTAGATCTAGGTATCTATCAGATCGTTTAGTAATACTTTCATCGGACAATGCAGCTGTGATTGGCCACCTGAGCTTTATTAAGCGCTGTAGCATATAATAGGAAGAGTTCCACCTCGTAGAAACTTCTTGAACAACCTTTAGGTAAGGTTGATTCATTTGTGTACATTTCTGCAGAAGACCCTGTGTAGCGACCACACTATGTTTGAAATGGCCCACTAATTTGCGAGAAGCAGCCATTAAGTTGCTTATAGCCCTCACTTTAAGTCCTGCTTTTAAACAAAGTTGAAGGCAGTGGGCTGAACAGTGTAGGCTAGACCAGCCTTCTTCTTTTTCTAGAATTGAAAGACACAGTTCCATGTTGGTAGCTAAGTCATGAACGACAATAGATATCTTATCCTTAATGTTATAGCTGTCTGCTATATCAAGGAGCTTCTCTGAAATTGCTAAACCAGTATGGCGTTCAGGAAATGCACACGTAGATAGAACAAATGAAAATATCTCCCATGATAATATGAAATGACAAGTTACAGTTATATATGCTTCTGTGGCACTACTTGTCCAAATATCGGTAGTTAGAGCAATCCTTTGTGCTTTACTTAATAGAGCAGCGAGTTTCTCTTTTCCAGCCTCATGTCGACTTCCAATTGCTTGAGTGAAGTGCTTACGACTTGGTATCTTGTATCCTGGTTCTAGGTACTCAAGTAAGCCACAGAACCCTTTACCTTCAACGGACCGAACGGAACGACAGTCGAGCGTGATCATGTCTATTATTCTCTCCGTGATTTCTTTCTTTTTGTGCTCAGGACAGTCTCTAGGCCTAGAATATGCATCTATTGTGTTCTGTCTCCTCATCGCGCTTCTAGGAGTAGTAGGACGATAAGCAAGAGCGTGTTTGGCCAACAAATGTTCCCGTAGGTTGCTTGTTCCTCCGTGATAGGCGTAGACATTGGAACACAGCTTAAATTTCACACTTTCAGTATCTATCTTCTCGAAATGTGGCCATACATCTGACTTCGAACTGGCAGAAGGTAAGGGAGAAGCCACCACAACAAAAATGGCTGCCTTTCACGATTGACATGTGCTTCAGTAGGTTGAGGGTGTGGCCTATGTTATTACTAGTTATGCAAACCTTTGAATGAAATTTTTCCTATCGAATGTTATACTCATGCAAGAACTATTCGAATGTTTGAACATTTGTCCCAGCACTAGTTTCAAGAATAATTATAATAATAATCAAATGAAATTAATGTTGTAAAAATTGAGTTGATACATAATACATGTGCATGTAGTACAAGTAGCAACATGTAATTATCCTAAAGCTGCTTCATTTATGAAAACAGCCTCTCCTATGAGTTAGGCCTACATGTGTAGTTACTCTTCATACAAGCTCCCATCCAAGCTTCTCACTGTTCATGCACAAACAAATGAAGTTGGCCACTTCTCACACAGTTTATTCCCAATGATCTTGCTATTACAATATCTCATCATTCTCCTCCATACACTTGTTCATAACCTGTAGCCCTTAATTACTTTGTCTTGGAAGGTCAGCTATAGCTCATGTACAATGTAGCTCCATATCTTTCAATGAAATTAAGCAAAAAAACTTTAAAAATAGTATATCCTTCAAGAAGTCACTTATGATGAAACAGAGCAGGATAGAGTATTCCAAAAAAACTACTCTTCTTCTAGTTTCTAAGAATATCCACCATGTTCTCCTCAAAATGACTGTACTCCATAAAAAACATACACCGTCAGGAAACGTACGCATAATGAATAATTGAACACGTGGTCAATGCAAAATGGACATATAAAAAGCATGCGTCTATTTTTATGTCCAGCCTTTCAATAAACAGGAGTTACACTAATGCTAAATACTGTACGTTCAATTATCTAACCATAGCTGTACATGTTTAAAACACTATAACATAATGTAATAGTAATTGTGATCAGGCTGGTCAAATGGTAGACGTAACGCATTAGAAAGCATTACAAAGAAAAAGGCATTAAAAGGGCGAAGTGGCCAACACTTTCCAAGCTTTTGGATATAAAAATCACATTTGAAAGCCACTGATGATTCACCACCTAAAGTGAGCAAAGGCTCTGTTTGCTCCACCTAACTGATGTAAGGCTCACTCACGATACTCCTCCATGAAAATGTACCATCTCATTTCTTGATAAAACATCGTATGAAAAAAGGGCAGTACTCTCTAGGCAGTAATTATAAAAAGTATGAAAAAGCGACACTAAAATGCCAAGCATTAACCTCACCATGTAACAAACAAAACACAAATTTAATCCCCTCAATAGACCACCCAGAGTGAGAATTGCAAAAGCTATGAATTTCATTAATTTTATATACGGTATCCGCCCACGTGCCATAATTGGCTACCATTTTGGTTGGCAAGTTTGTTAAGGAAGTCAATGGAGGCACGAAGAAAATGCCTCACTTACCTGTTGTAGCTCTATCAATAGCTAAAAAGTGCTTGTTATAAGAAAGAATAGCTACCTTTAAGCTTATCCTGTGAAAGATTTGGTCAAATTCGCTTCAGAATTCTTAATACAGGTTTGTTTTTATGTCGTCCTGTTTGCTCTCCATTGAAAGTTGTCAACCAAAATGGCGGCCGGAATTTATTTCATTGTAAACCACACCTTACAACCGTAATAGTCTTCCCACGCAAGCAATTCTCACTCTGGGTGGTCTATAAATTTATTCCCTCTAAATTAACCTTTTCATACGCACAAAATGACTCACTGGTAAATTAGTAAATTGATCATACCTTTCTAGTTTCTCTCCTTCAATCATTTATGACTGTTTTCCAACTGTTTGGATTAGAATCAGAGAAACCTTCATCTTTTCCTCCTAAAAGCCGTAGGCTCAGTGAGCTCAATGATCAGCTTAAGTATTGTATTAGTCTCGTATCGGAACTAATCGATCCAATTAAATGAGCGTGTAGTTCCTATTACCATTGATAAGGTAAATACAAAAGTACAGCTTAACTCACAACTTTGGGTAAAAGCTCAAAGAACTCCACGCCAGAGCTGCTACCACGTGTTTGAAAGTGAAACTTTAACAGTTAACTTTGACTGTTAATATGTTTGTGACTTTGTGACGTTTGTGAAACTTTGTGTCTAATGTCACGTGAGTGGTGCGTGGGAGTAAGTGATTAAACATTCTTTTTCCACTTTCATGTAACCACTTTCCAGTGATTCCTCGCATAAATAGCGATTCCATTTCCACCAGTCTATGTAGATCTAGCTAGGTAGTCATAGAGAGCTAGAGTAGGAGGAAAGCCACTAGTAAGTTTTGCAAGGGTGTACGCATTCTCCAACAATGGCTAAGAGTACAAGCCGAGGTACAAGCAGGACAAGCCCTAATCCTTCCTCTGCTCCTTTTATAAACGTTTGCAATAAAGAACTAAGTGAGTTTGTGAGTATATTTGGTATTTTAATGATATTTTACTCAGGTATTGAGGACTTTTATGATATTTATGAGAAAATCGAACAGCTTTCAGCTTGCTGGAAGGAGATTGCCATTTCCTTGCGTCTCCAAATAAACACAATTAACAAGATAGAAGCTGATTGTCGTGGAAACACCGTCACTTGCCTGCAGAAAGTTTTAGAGCACTGGTTAAGGAAAGATTATGATTATAAGCGTTATGGTATTCCTTGTTGGAGGAGAGTGTGTGTAGCTGTTAAGGAAGGAGGAGGTGATCCAGCATTAGCTGATGAAATAGCTCGTGAACATCCTCTACCAGCTATGCCACCTGCAGGATCAACTAGTTCAAAAGGTACAAGGAAATATTAGTTGAGTGTTGATATCAATAGTATCACTGTCAGTGTCACAGTATCTATATATATGGGGTGGTTTTGAAGCTATTTTTGGAATAAGGCATGAGCCACTGAGATATTGGCTCATTTTAAAATTGGCCTATAACTTACAAATTTGAGCTTGGAATCAGCTCAAACTCTCTACATAGCATAAGTACATGATTCACATCAATATGTATGATGTATCAATAAATGTTGGTTGATTTCTGAGCCATTTTTGGAAAAAAGCATTTGCTTACCCTTGGCTATGGTACCGGTTTATATTTTGGCATATTTTTTAATGGTCATAATTCAAGAAAAATATATTGTCAGAATCATCTCAAAATTTCTACACAGAAAGAGGATATGAGAAAAATGCAAGAAAAATTTGGGATGATTTTGAAGCCATTTTTTAGATAAAACCATGGGCTATAGTACTTGGTAATTTCCTTATTTAAACTGGCCATAATTTAAAAATTATAGCAAAAAATCAGATACCGAATAGCTTGAAATTTTCGTGGGTCGATATTTTCGTGGTTTGGTCCTAGTGGGGCAATTTATGGTTTAATTTTTGTGGCTGACAGTTTACATAGCCTGTAAGGGGATGGCACTTCAATGATTTTGTGGGTTTAAATTTCGTGGGCAGCCCATAACCATGAAAACCACAAAATTTACATTCTGCAAAAATTTCAAGCTATAAGGTAGGTTGTGTTGGGTAGCCAAATTATCTCCTATTTGTATTAACAAGAGTGGATAATTATTTAGGGAGAGTGTCTAACCCGCCTATAATCTGTGATACCACAGTGCGTAAGTTTACTACATAGCATGGCTTATTAGCACCAAGTAGCCATTCTTGCGTCCTTATACTGATTCCAAGTCAGAAGGCTGCAAATAAGAGCCAACCATTAGAAGAACATATTCCCGTCTGATCCTGCTTGTTTCTCGCACTACATGATCCTCAGAGTGGAGATACAAGTCTTAAAGTTGCCTGCATGCTTCAAGCGCCATTTTATCAGCCACGCCCATAAATTTGAAGATTACTGAGATTAACTCTGTATACTTGCAAAAAACAGATGTAAACATACGCGCTGTGGTATCACAGAATATAGGGAGGTTAGACACTCTCCCTAAATAATTATCCACTCTTGGTATTAAATAAGCCAGTTATTGCTTTTACTTAAGTTGAACATGAATATCATTATCAAGCAATGAATATAATTATGTACAGTTCTAGTCTCCTTGTGAATGTCATTTGAATATGACGCAATGACATGCACAGTCATTTGAAAATGATTCCAGTTTAATATATTTTCTATTTTTTAAAGAAAAAAGTGTCACTCCTGTAACAGATGAGGTAGCTATGTCACCAGCAAGCACTGACAGAGCAACAGGTGATTTATTATTCAATATTTCATCAAGACATAATAAAAGACCCATGTCCAGCTATTGCAATGGGACTTCCGGTCGCATTGATTTAATGATATTCATTGGAATTACCATAGCAACGGCAGCTCAGCAATGGTGGATTGATAGGACGCTTCACTACAAAGCCTGCTAACGTCTTTCTGGTTCATGGATGGGACCTCACTAGATACTTGGAGCTTCTTGAATGCTACTTAATGCAATTGGTTATGGTAGTTTTTTCATATTCTATTGTTAAAGTGGCAGGCGTGGCGCAAGAAGACTCATCCACTAACAAAAGGCCTTCTTGTTATTACTTTAAAAGGATCTAGAGACATGATTTGCTTGTATAGCTGTTAAGCACTCTTAGTTTTACTTTATTATTCCCGTGAGAAGAGAAAAGCACTTGTTCACTCTTGTTGCTGCACCCGTTATCACTGAGACAACTAAAATTATTTCACCTTTAAAAGACTAAAGTACCGAACAAAGTTTTGAATTTTTTTATCTTTTTTGCATGATTGGGCAGTAAAAATGTTGTACTTTCACAAAATAAGTGCGCAAATTGTCAAAAATTGTTTGAAATTTAGATATAACCATTCAAAAAGTAAAAAAATTATCATACATACATAAAGGAATGACAAAATGGCGGCACTGACTGCCCTCATCTTTAATCTGCAAATGTTCCACACAAAGTTACTCCAAGTGCCGTCATATTTAGCAGGAACACAGGTATAATTATGGAGAACAACTACTGAAGTGCGCAAATTGATGAGACTTATTCTGAAGAAAGATATAGCCTAGTAAATGGAAATGTCCATTCCTGCCCTGTATAAAGTCAACCAGTAGTATACGGAGATAATTGCTCAGTATACTAATCCGCGACCACTCATTGCTGGACATGCAAAGTGCAGCCTAGTATTTTATGTTAGTATCTACCTATCATGCAATATTTAGAGGATAAAGTGATTCTTAGTTACCCTTTTTGTCACTCATGCATGCAGTGATGCTGTATGTATGCACATACAAAGATATGGCTATAACTATTGTACACAGATTACACATGTTTAAATTTATAAATTAAAACACTATGAACTTTAGGCTAATAAATAGATCATTTGTACTTTTAGGCACTAATGGTCTTTCTTGGAAAAATTTTGACTTAACAAGCAAACTGCATGATCTACGAGAAGAATTTGATGAGGCAGTTAGAATAACAAAGAATTCCTTTGAATCAAGTGATCTACCAAAAATCATTGACTACCTCATTACACACACAATGTCATTACTTGGTCCTAACAAGAAACAACAAACAGCAGCTCAAGAAATTGTTTACTCAGTTAAAAACGAGTTTGAACATATTGAAACAATATCAGATTTATTTGCCATATTGCAGCACAAATACATGTCATGGTTCAACTATAAACTAATGATAAAACTTGTTGGAGTATTTCTACCCAAAAATCGTTTGTTAAAAAGAACTTGGTCAGCATATGAAAAGAAGTTAAAGGATTATTTTATAAACAGTGGTGGACTATTGAAAGATGCTGATGCTGTAGAGTTTGGTATAAAAGGTGTTCCTCCTGGTACACGAGTAATGATTGCTAAAGTTGACAGAAATGACTACACACTGGATGACATATTTTTCTTTCGTAGAGCAATACCAAATGGTTTAGACATTCCTGAATATGATCTTCACTTCAGATCTGTTCGCC